TCATGACGCTGCCACCACCGTGCTTCATCATGATGCTGCCACCACCGTGCTTCATCATGATGCTGCCACCGCCGTGCTTCATCATGATGCTGCCACCACCGTGCTTCACGTCATGATGCTGCCACCACCGTGCTTCACATCATGATGCTGCCACCACCGTGCTTCATCATGATGCTGCCATCATTGTGAATTTGTGATGTTGTGCAGTGTTTGGTGTGCACCACACACAACATCTAGTTTAATGGCCAAAAAGCTCCATTCTGGTCTCCTCAGACCAGACAACCTTCTTCCAGGTGACTTCAGAGTCTCCACATGTCTTCTGGTGAACTCTAGTCCAGATTTAATCTGAGCTTTTTCCAACAGAGTCTTTCTCTTTGTCTCCCATAAAGCTTTGATGGTGAAGAACAGGTTCTAGTACCTCCTTCAGAGGAGTCATAGGAGTCTTGGTGGCCTCCCTCACTAGTCTCCTTCTTGTACCTCCTTCAGAGGAGTCATAGGAGTCTTGGTGGCCTCCCTCACTAGTCTCCTTCTTGCTCAGTCACTCAGTCTTTGAGGACGTCCTGCTCTAGTCAGATCTACTCATGTTCCATATTCCTTCCATTAATGATGGATTTAACTGGACTCCAGAGATGTTCACTAACTTGTACATTTTCACATATCCATCCCGTGACTGATGCTTCTCAACAACCTTTTGTTCTTGGAGTGTTCTTCAGTCTTCATGGTGTAGTTCTATCCAGGAGTACTGATCCACCAGTGACTGGACCTTCCAGATACACCAGTCTTTATGCTACAATCACTGAGACTCATTCACTGACCTCAGATCATCCATTTACTGACTGTAGCCCTTCTAGCAACAAATAACTGCACCCGTGTTGAATAAGTCACTTTAAAGGGAGGGAAAACTTATGCAATCGCTTGTTTTGAGATTTTGTATTAATTAACTTTACTTTGTAGGAATCACTTGGTCATAAAAAAGTCACTTTTCTTGTCAAAAAAAAAAAGTCAAACTAAAATGATTCAAGACTGAAAAGCCGTAAAAGGGGGAAAACTTCCAAGAGGGCTGAATCCACATCATGGACGCTGTAGACAGCAGCTCAGGACCAGCATGCAACAGTAAGCTTATACACATTTTACAACACAGCATAACAATGAGATCGACTGGGAGGAGCAGATTCCACTGAGGTTGATCTAATGCATGTAGAAGTTGCTCTTACCATGACCAACATCTGGGATATCAGTCACAGACAGCGTGGACATCTTCTGCACAGCAGCTTGTCATTACGAAATCAACGTGTACCTGCGCAACACAAACGAGAGACGCGTTCAAACACAGTGGCAGTGTTACATAGCATAACCTAAAGCATCCCTCAAGCAACAGGAAAATCCCCCGAAGCAAAATGTTCGCCTGCATCCGCCTCCTCTCCAAGGAAATCCTGCTACATAAGAGCTCCCTTTGATGGGAGAGAGATTCTGTTTCTTGCAGCTCTTCAAGGTACCGGAGAAGTTTTCTGGCACAGAGGTCCATCAACTATCTGGCACAAACTAGTAAAAATTAAAAAAAGACCTAGTTCGATCATAAATGTACAGTTCTGGAGGGTTTTAATCTACTTACTGCTCTGATGTTTTGCTTGGTTGAAGAGATGACGATAAAAACTACATCTGACAAACTTACAAACGAGAAAACGAGCTCTGCGACTGTATGAAAGTTGTTTACACACTCAAAACAGGGATGTGGTTAAATGACAGGGCGGTGTTACGATCCCGTACGACGCGGTTCTTAGAAAGACTGGGACGAGGGAAGAAAAGTCTTGGAAGCCACTCGGATCCTGCCCATGAAATATGTGCGTACAGGAAAGCCAACTGGATGCGAAAGCAGAAATGAAAGTCTGTCATGTGCCACATAAGGATACGTTTCAGGAAACTGATTCAGCAGACGCACAAGCAGGATTTTTTTTTTGTATTCTTAACCCGCCTGCAAGACAGAACGCCCAGTTCAGAAATATGGCCTTTGTGCAATTTGTGTGACAAAAGATAACTTCTAAAAATATCCAACACAGTGTTGCACTTGACATTATTTTCACTCATACCCCGTAAAAAATATCAAAAGGCCTGTTTGACCTGTCAAATACGACAATCCTGCAACAAACTCTACCTTCATGGAGGCGAATATCTAAGTTTTTGTGGTCATATGTTAGTTTTTGTGTATATTTGAAGCTGTTTTTGAAGTCTAGTCTGTCCTCCTTGATGTAAATGTGGTGGACAAAATAACCAATTGGGAATCAATGCAAAAAACAAGGACTTAAACACCTGACTAATGAAGCTGCTTTTATCACACTGATTGATGCAAAACAAATCTACACAATATGCTCATTGATCGTAATTTAGAGCATAAATATCTCATAAAATTAGCGACACAGTGAGCACAAACAGCTCAGAGAAATCTCCGTCTTTTCATGATATATAGCTTTATGTTCTCCATCAGTACTTCCAATAAGAAGACGGTCCAGCTCCTTATTTTTTGCTTCATTATTCCACCTCTGAGGCTAAACATGTCAGACACCTTGATAGGGACAGTAGCACGACTCCTGCATGACTTCCCGTCCTGTGCCAACCTGTTTGGTATAAATAAGTAGCTCCACTGGCAGCACTTATGGCGTCACTGACATCCGAACAAGGATTTCTGTGAAGTTCCGTGTTTCGACAAGCAACACAGACACTTACAAGCACGACAGCGATAACATACGACCGGTTCAAATTACATAACTCTGGTCAGGTTACGTTCAGGAGGAATCAAAAGAGAAAACCCGTAATAAACCTGAACAAAGCTGCTGTGGCACAGTAATTCACCCAGCCCCGCTGATAAGCTCACAAACACACGGCAAAACGGCTGAAGATAAAAGCGTTGACGGCGGAGGCAATAAGGAAGGCGACAGCTTGGTGGGCGTAAAGAGGCCTTTGTTGCAGTTGGCTTTTTTAATAACAGAAGCGATCGCCGTGTTTGCATAGCGTTGGCTGATATTGCATTAAATTGAGGCAATGAATGAACATGTTTGCCTTTAAAACATACATGTCAGTGTTCAGCAGAAACATGAACAACGGTACAGAACTTCCACCAGTTTCCACTGAAAAAAAAAAAAGATTTTAAGTCAAAGAAAAACCTCATTTAGCTCAAATTAACCTCCAACAGTGGCTCTGTGACAGAGCCAGCGTTGGACTGACCTTACCTCTGAAGCCGATGTCTTATTTATCGCCTATCCATCTTGCCCATGTGAGTCCACAACGTCAGCCTGTCGATATCTCTGCGCCGACGGAGGACTGGTTGGCCCGGCGAGCCTCGAGGGATGCCAGAACCCCTGTGACTTATTGGGCAGAAGTTGAATGACTCGATATCTTGAAGAGGGTGAGTAGGAAAGAAGACAAGTCCCTTCCTCCAATGCCCTATGGGAGACAGGAGGGAAAACAGAGCGAGGGAGGGAGGAGGAGGTAGGGTGAAAGAGGGAACACCATAGGTTACTATTGGTCATTTGCATCGCTCTTAAACCCCACAGGACTGTGGCGCTCCTGCTTTTTTTCTTTTCTTTTTTTTTCTTCTTTCAGTATTTAAGCTTTTATTCAAACAGACTCCAGACAGACACCAAAGGATTACCCCGTTTTACTGTCAAATTATAACCTGCACTGTGATCCGCTGCCTTAGATCCCAACGTCTCTAAAAGCTTTTTTTATTTCTCTCAAAACCGTACGAGCAGAAAAGTCACAAAAGCAACACAATCGACCAAGACTGATCAATTATTTAACTGGGAGAGAAATCCTCCAACCTGGAGATTCAAAGCAGATCCAATATTCACACCCTGAGAAACCACAAATCAATGAGTTCAACGTCGTGCCAAACATACATTTGTTTGATTTATGATCAATAAAAAGCAGCTAAAACAAACGTTGTAAACTGTTCTAGAAAAGCTGCCGAGGGTCTCATGGTTTACTGGGTGACTTCACTCTCTTTGGCTGTAAAATATTGTCTGTTTGGCGTGTCGCCTCGTGTCATCTCCACCCCGATGTCTCCGGTAAAGTCCAATGTCCCCTGAACCTTATCAGTCAGTCACCTTTGTCCATGCGCATGTTTTCATAGACGACTGGATATAAAATGAGAACACCAGCAAAATCAATATGGCACGAAATGAACACCTTGTTATCTGCCTCACGTTTTCCCTCCGACAAACATCACAGAGACATGATGCAAGTGTACCTGACATGCACAGTATGTTACCAAAAGACCAAATAGTTGATTATTATACATCAGCATCCATCTTAAAAATGGTTTCCTTACTCCTCTGTGATTTAGATACCTTTTGGTTTTTGACAACTAAACTATTTTATAGGCTTTGAGACATTGCAGAAATTCCTGTGAGTGTCAGCAACCGTGTGAGAAGACTGTGCCCATCAGAATACAGTCAGCATGACTGGGTGGGAAATGTCTTTTACTCCAAGTCTCAGAGTAGCAGCGGATGCAACTCTCTCCGCTGATGCAAAAATGTACTGCCACACTCAGCAACAACTTGGTGTGAAAGGACGGAGTCAGTGTTCTCAGGAATCACAGGCTCCACTTTCAATCAGGGTTCTCATGAATGCACCGATGGAAGAAGAAGTTCAGCCGGTGTTTGCAGACCCACCCAGAAGTTTTCACTTCTTCTCACCAAACACTTCTCCTTGGGGTCCCCATCTGGGTGGAGCTGCGCTGGGAATTATGTCAGGTCACTAAACTAACAGGAACAATAAGGATGTGAGGCATCAGCCCTGACAGCAGGTGCAACAGATGTCACCTCTGCTCACGCCCACACACCGGACTGATCCAGCAAAACAAGTGAAAGCAGCACAACGGGAGGACCGAGGACATTTGGAGGTTTTCACTTCCAACTTTTGAACACAGTCACACCGTCAACAAGCACATTTAGCAGAAGACGTGCGATCACACAGCCTGGGTGACTTTTGTTTAGCTAAATTAGCTCCTGTGCAGCTAGCCTCCGCGTTATGGAGCTCACAAGTTAGCATTGTCTTGCAATCCTGTTGTGTAAACAGCCCAGTGAGCAGGTGGAACCGTGAACACACCTGACAGGTCGAGTTTAAACAAGCCTCATACCTGCCTGTTGTAAATGTTGTGGTTGTTTTGAGCACAGGCTCGCTGCTAACATTAGCTTAGTTAGTTAGTTAACCAAGCTTATTGCCATTTAACTGGTAACGCCGGATAAACAAGTGTAGCTGAGCTTCAAGTTCGGCTTGAAAACACCCGCTAGTTAACCTAAACAGTTAGCTAGTTAAACGTGTCAACTCTCCAGCTTTCAAACAGTGTTGCAGAGAAAAAATACAAATATGTGAGATTAGCTTGATGGTCAATCCAAACCAGGCCAGTGTCGTTAGCCGAACACCCCCGCACAAGAAAGCAACTCCCCGTTAGAAGTTCCACTGAGCTAGCTTCGCTAACTTCGCGTTACGGATTCCACAAACACGCTCAGAAACGAGACAAAGCCGAAGTTTTCACTTGCCGGAGACTTGGCGACTCTGCGGCTACTTGTTAGTCAGAGCAGGCGGCTCCGTCCGAGCGTGGCTCCCTGACAGCGGCTGTGACAACCGAAGCTAACGCGTTAGCTCGCTAGCTAGCGACGTTACATCATGTGACTGAGCGGCCCCGGGGAGCTCAGACTGCGGCTGCGCAGCAGGACACAGGTTTCGTCAGGCTCAGGGCCAGAAACAACAAGGTGTTGTTCTGCCCGGTGTTTGGTCTGACAGGCAGCAGGCGCATCTTAAGTCCACAAACTATTAAATATATTATACAGTCTGTGCCTAAGTGTTTATTATGTTATATAGTCTGACGTAAATTCTCAGGAAAGTATTCAGGTTCATGTAGAAACTTCAGATTTAATTTGGGTACTTGGGCTGAAATAAAGTTTCCTGGCTCCATGTTAGATTTACAAACTGTGTTATATGTTTATAAGCACATTATGAGATAAAATAAGGTTCTTTTTAAAAGCAATTTTTAGCTACATTTGTAAAAAATACTTATAATACTGCTGTTTTACAGATTTTCCCTGTTTTGTTCAATTACAAATAGCAAATCAAATGTGGTCTATATTTAACCTGAAGATAACTCATCCCAACGAAAGCACCTTACAATTAAACTACAGAATATGTTTCCAATGTTATTTGGCTACTCTGTCACACTCCCAAACATGTCGCTGCTGCAGACATCCTGCAGTGAGACAGTGAAATAGAAAAAAAGCTCATAAACTAGATAAATAAAACATTCCACATGACAAAAAAGCAACAAAAACAACAGCAAAAACAAAACTAAACATGAAACAGATAACCCCAGGCCTAACAACACCACTGATTTTGACACTGGTCAAACTTTTTACAGGCAGTTTTGCAATATGTGCAACTCCCCGACGAATTACAGTTAATCAAACTACGAACATCCAATCAGTTGATTCTTGTATGGGAGCAGCATGTGGTCTGGCAGGCTTAACCCAGGGCAACAACAACATACTAAAAGGTGAAGCTACTTAATTATTTTCTAAATAGTTAGTCTAAAATTCAGGATGAAAACATCGTCTGCGTTGACTATGATACATTAAAGCAACCAATACTGCTGGTAGTTAGGTTAATTGATGTAATTAGTAATACTGTAAGGTCTTAGCCCTGGTTTGTTTTATAGTAAAGTAGTATTATATATAATTTCTGTAGGGATTTAAATCTTATATTTAAATCCTCTACAGCAGCTTTGTTTAGAATAAGTCTTTCAAAGTTTTGTCTTATACAAAAAAAACATAACTATTATATATTATAATAGTTTAGAAATTAATTCTCTATGTACTAATACTACAACCACGACTCCTACTACTACTACTACCACTACTACTACTAATAATAATAATAATCTGGTGTGTGATATTAATATTCGCTGATTTTGGGAGTAATTCCCGGAGCGGCCGCTGGAGGGCGGAACCCTCCAAGTCACAGCGTTTGATTTTCGCCGAAGAAGAAGAAGAAGCGGAAAGGAAACAAACCGCTGCTGCTGCTGCTTGAGCTTCTTTTTCTGCACAACTTTCTGCACAACTTTCTGCACAATCGCGAAGTTGGGCCTCGCTGGACATCATGCCGGTGATCTGTGCGGCAACCGGGTGCAACAACAAGTTCGTCAAAGGTTCGGAAATCAGATTTTACCGGTAAGTTTCCAGCGAGGCTCCACCGATGCTGTTAGCTTAGATGTTCATTTGATCATTTGATGCAGCATTAAAACACACATGCAGAGCTTAAATTACTTTAACAGATAAATTGGTTGTCTCTTAGTCACTGTGGGCTTTAGGGGAACATTTAATTAACGTTTGCATTTTTATTAAAGGCGTTTTGGTGCAACTTAGCATCAGTGGATCAGACGTGGCTAACGGTGCCTCTTACATGAACCTGATTTATTAGCATCTCTTATAATGTAGCAGAACAACAAACACACTGTGTTCATGTTCCTGATGTTTGTGTGTTTTAGCTCAACCAGACCTGAGCTTGAGAAATGCTAGTTAGCACTTTAAAATATCTAAATGTTGTTTATCATTTTATCAAAAATACATCTAAATGTTCCTGGTGTTAATATGCATATAGAAATATTCAGCTTCACCGCCTGTTAGCTTCACTTTACCTCTGAAAGTACGAGTTTTTATTTCATGAGATCGCTTACTGCAGATGTTGTCACTGATGTATTTTAATGCAACATATAATTGTCTTTAAACTACAATAACCGTGTGAATGTATTGGACACAAAAGGGACTAAAAACATTTCCTAATGGCAGAATAATTAAACCTGAGGGGAAATAATGGCAGGCAATAATAAATACACACGACACTAACAGGCACACAAATTATAAAAGATAAGAAAAATACTGTCAGCATAACATTAGTACAAACTAAGACACCAGAAAATGTAAAGTTTTTGAAGTAAACATGGGCAACTAATGATTATTTTTGTTGTTGATTCATTTGTCAATCAGCTTCCCAATTAATCAATTAGTCATTTGGTCCACTTGAGTGTTTGCAGAATACAGAGAGGGTTGCACCATTTACATATTTGGAAAAAGTCTTTCCTGGTGTTAAAGACAGTTGATACTTCAGACACTTCATGTATCTGCTAATGAACTATTTCCTTCCTCATGAGCGTTAAGTTTGATTGTTTCAGTGTTTAAGACTAATGATCTGCTCTGATCGACTTGATTGTGTTTACAGGTGCAGCCTGGTTTAAAACGCTCTCCTCCTCCTTGTCCTCCTGTGTTTCAGGTTTCCTCTCAGCAAACCACAACTCGCCAGCAAATGGGTGCACAGCCTGGGGATGAAAAACTTCATCCCCACCGCCAACACCTGCCTCTGCTCGGAGCACTTCCGGACCGACTGCTTCAGAGACTACAACGGCAAACAGTTTCTGAGGGAGGACGCCGTGCCCACCATCTTCTCCCACGGCCAGGATTCATCCAAGGTGTGGCCTCGCAGCTTCTCTAACGTTTACTTTTCAGACTGAATGAGCGACTCTGCTTCATATTAAGTGAACAGATGAATGTGAAAACTCCACAGATTGAGCTGCGTAAACGAGGAGTGATACCGAAGGAGGCGCCCGTCGTGAATCCGATGGGAACGCCGGCAGACAGAGAGCGAGCCAGAGAGGCGGCTCTGCGTCGGGAGAAACGAGGAGGAATGAGGGTGAGTTTGGTCTGTTGGTTGTGTGTGCCGTTGTTTTAAACAATAACTTTGGCACGTGTTCACCTCATTATTTAAAACTCTGACCATGTTTAATACGAACATCTGACACCAGAACATTCTACATACGATAGAAAACAAGGAAAGGAAGTTTCCTTAACTGATGGTCAGCCGGGTTAACAAACTAACTGGTTAATAGTTGAGATGTGTTCAGTGGACGTTTTTCCACATGCTGAGATTTGATAAATGACAGTTAATGTTAATCCCAAATTCATCTCTTTTCCTGAAGTGAACACCCGGTTATTGAGTTATACATTAAAAGGCAAAAATAATGCTTTAAAATTGCTTTTCAACAATTGGCCCAACAAAGTGTCCACAATCAATAAACTGTAAAGTTATTAATCTGTTCAGTTTAATATCAGAATAAACCTCACAGCTGATCTACACGGTGGAGTGATCCAGCTGCAGGAAACAGCTGCTCAGCAAGAAGGAATATAAACACCGCTGCAGCGACTTTATCAGTTCAGGACATCTGTCGGTATTTTTACTGCCACCTCTGAAACATCTTTATACTCACAGCAGAGTTTTGCAAATCTGCTTTTATGTTGTTGGAAGTTTGCAATCAGAGTCCTGCTGCTGCTTTATATTTGCAGCGTCTCTGCTGACAGACACTCAGCTCCCAGCCTGCATTAGCATTACAAAATACTAGCTTAGCATTGTTAGCATGAGCCTCGGGTAGCTCGCTAAACCAGACAGAAACTTATTTACAACCGGATGCCGCAGAGTTCATCAACGCGACTGTTTGACAGCAAACACACCTGGAACTCCTTATCAAACAGTAAGAGGCTCCACCTGGTGGAACAACCAGGTACTACAGCAAACTACAACACGGCCGTCGTGTTCTGCCTCATTCATGAATATTTTTTGAGTCAATTAATTGACAGTTAATCCTCTAGCCTGTTTAAATCAGTTCTTTTATGAAAAATACAGTAAATATTTAACAAAAAAATATCAGTGTCATGATCCTCACACGACACAGTGACGCTAAATAACATTTTAAATAGAGGTTTCACAAACAAATCTACAGACGCTGCAGCTACTGCTGCTACGATTCACATCATTTAGAGTTCAAGAAAGTAATGTGTGCAAATCTCAGTGCCTTTCACTTTGATCCTGTGGTAAACATGACATTATTTATATAGTGGAAGATGAATACAAAGAATATTTATCATGGAATAAAAGAATCTAACCTTAACTTTGTTTTATTTGTCAGGCAGAATATAAATGAACTGATGATTATGAGCAGTTGTAAAAGCTGCATCTGATGGAGTCTAATTAACTGCAGCTGTTATTGTCGGAGCCGGTTAAAGCTGTCGTAAGACCATTAAATCATAACCGGACTTTCAGACGTCTGTGTTCGTCTTGTGTTTAAATATAGCACATGCATAAGCAGATGGTTTAGTTTTGCAATGAATGCGTGTGTTTGTGTTGTTTCAGGGCGGACGAGGCGGTCGAGGAGCGAAGCAGCTGTCGGACAGGTGAGACGCTGCGAAGGTGTTTCTTTGTTCTTATCTCCTCTGAATTCAGTGGCAGAAGTATTAATTTGAGGTTTGCGCCTCTTTTTAGTGAAGAGAACGAGCCTCCTGTGAAACGGCGAGCTCTTCCCAGATAAGCCCGGCGCTCCGTTAGACTCACTCACTAATTAGGTTTTTGTGGAAACGATGCCCGTGAGGATGATTCTCCGACTTAACTGATTGTGGCCTTTTGCAGACTTCTGCAAAAGAAAGAAGAAGAAAAAAAAAATACACTAAAAAGAACAGATTAAAAACAGCTGCCGGTGACACATCTTAGATTTCTGGGAGGGTTTATGTGGAGTTCTTCTTCTTCTTATGCCAATAACTGAGCAAACGGTACAACAATAATAATATTTCCACTGCAGCAGCCATGGATTTGTTGTTGGAAAAAAGTGTTCAAGCTCAATGTGTCATCAGTGAGTTTTAGATTTTAGTGTCGGTATTGAAAATCAGTAATAAAACGCTGCCGTGTCCAACATTTATCATCATGAGAGTCTTTGTTGGAGACAGAATGTACTCGCAGAGATACAGATTTCTCTGCAGACTAGTAGACAAGAATGAGAAGTAGCTGCACGTTGCAGTGGGACTAATAAGCAGCTGTATTCAGCCCCGATTCACTCAGGCGACAATTGATTGCAACAGCGAACCAGTTTCACAGCATAAAAAAGTTTTAAAAACAAAAACCAGACATTTTTCAAAGTGCTCCTGCAGCATAATTCACCTCGTCCTCGTCAGACTGAACACCGAATATTCTCTGGAAATTCATATTCTGCAGGAACAATCGTAGTCGGACACTAACGACCGACACGAGAAAGCATTTAATTTAAGTGTGAAGCAGCTCATCAGATAAATAATCTGTGAGATGGAAATAAGAGGCGCCGATCGGTTTGACCTTTGAGAATCACAACAGAGATTTGAGCGATAACACGACGCTCATTACTGAGTAACGAGATGATTAACCCTCTGAACTCCAGGAAACAGTTTCTGGGTGTTTTTTGCCTCCATTTTTCTTCACTGTACTCGTGATCAACTTAAATCAACATCAACAAGTTCCCACTAATCTAAAACGATACCAGTAAACATGGAGGCTTCACCTGAATATTCTACAAGATCTATTTACGCTTTTACAGATGTAGAAAGATGTTCCACCATCAGCTGGATGTATCTCCACCAACTGGCTCCTCTGTTCTCTGGTTCTGATCCATGCTGCATTTATTTATGGGTCCAGTAGGTTGGATTTTACTCTGTCTCTCTGAGGAACCACTGGCTGCAGTTAAACCTAAAAAAAAACATATATATATTTTGTCTCTTTCCTCTTTCAGTCATAGCTTTTCATTTTGTGCAAAGGAAGTTTTAGTTTTTTGTTTTTTTTTAAAGGATCTGTTTATTTCAAACAGCTTATTTCGGTTTTCTTTATGTTTGGGTTACGTTTCCTGAACTGAAAGTTATTTTCCTGAATCTGGCTGTGATTTTGTTTAAATATAGGAAATTGTGGCTATCAATGGGGGTCGATTAGTGTATATATACGTATATTTAAACGTTTCCCAGCAGTGTTCCCTGATGGACACAGTTTGGCCGACCATCATAGAAATCGTCGTTCTAGGAAGAAGAAACTGGGTTCGGATTCAGCTTCAGGCTCTGGGCTGTTTAATTAGATCGCTGGAATCTAAAACGAGGTGTTTCATAATGAAGCACAAAGACAGAACTGTCAGAGCTGAGTCAGTCGTAGCTTTAAAGCAGAAGTTCTAGTTTCTTTTCAGTGCGAACGGTTTATTTTTAGGGATTTATTTTGATGAGACGCGTACGACAAAGTAAAGAAATTGATGTTTTTGGGTGACGTTTCCCTAAAAACCAGTCTCCTGAAGGGCCACAGCCGGGTCGACCATGAAGAGGTTGGGTTCTGTTCTGTGATGATAAATGAAACACGGCACGAGTGGGTTTGGACTTAGAATGAAAACCTCGGTGTAGAACAGCTGGAACACATCCCAAACTGATGACATTCAATCCTGTAGGAGTTTTCAGATTCAGCTTCAGGCTCTGGGTTGTTTAATTAGATCGCCGGAGTCTGAAACTAGGTGTTTCATAATGAAGCCAAAGACAGACGTGTCCCCAGGTTTCCGTCCGTCCTCGCCGAGCGCCTCGTAATGCCGACCGACGCTGCCAGACCGCGTTAGACAGACGCCGGCGTGGATTTATACCGAGGCGGCGGCGGCGATCGTTTTACTGTGTCGGACATAAATAAAGGCGAGAAAGTAATTAAAGAAAGCCACTGCGGGGAGAATGAGATGAGAGGAAACACATCACGTTACATCAGTTTTCACTCTCCGTCATGCAGGCAGAGCATCGGGGCCAAGAGCAGAGTCTACGACAGCAAAGGCCGGCTGCTGTCCAACGGCAAGGACATGTGCGACTGCCTGGACGTGGACTGCATGGGCTGCTTCTACCCCTGCCCCGACTGCGGCTCGCGGAAGTGCGGCGTCGAGTGCCGCTGCGACAGGAAGTGGCTGTACGAGCAGGTGGAGGTGGAAGGCGGGGAAATCATCCGGAACAAGTTCGCCGTTTAACGCCGTCGGAGGACTTCTGGGAGCTACGGCGCCGGGAAGTCGGACATTTCCAGACTGTGAAGCTTTTTAATGGATCCAGTGGTTTGATGTTTCTCTGTGCTTCGTGGAAACACCGCCTGCAGTTCAGCTGAAAACATTTTCTGTCACGTGGCTTCTTTTATTTTTTTTTTCCTTCTACAGGATCTGTTTAACGGCTTATTTTTGACAAGTAGGTCAAAGTGGAAGGAAGCTCCCAGTGATTGTCTGTAAATGGGATCAGAGGGCTTCTGGGAACTGAAACGCCCTCCAGTCACACCCCAGTTGGGCTGATTTGAGACTCTGACGCTTTCTGAAGAAATCATTTTGCAAAGCTGCTGCCTGCGGTAGAAAACGACGCTCCCGCTTGTCTCGTTTGTGCCAATTTGCGATAATAAACACACTCAAAAATGTATATTTAATGACGCGCTGTAACGTGTGCGGCGATGACGTTCCACCTACAGCTTCTGTAAAAAGTATTCAACCCTGCTCCAGAAATGTTCCCCTGCATTGAATTTTGGTCAATTTATTTTGGCTTTTTCACAAAAAATTCCCCAAAAAAGACTCTTTCATGTCAAAGTGAAAACAGATTTCTGCAGAGTAATGACAATTAATTAAAAATATAAAATGTAAAATGAGTGATTGCAGAAAAAAAACAAATTAAATTGCTCATAATTCAGCATTTAAAGGAATAAAATGGGAGAACTTAAGGGGTTGAATACTTTCTGTGGTCACTGTAGTCTTTAACTGACGCCGATTAGACTCAGCAAGTCGCTCGGCTTTGTGGGGTTAATAGTTTACAATATATTTACTATTTTAGCAGCAGCAGAGAAAAATAAATCATGTAACGTCAACACGTTTTAGCGGTTCCACATAAATATATATATATGTAGCACAGGTGGTGTGAAAATGAAAGAAAGTTGTGAATGTACTCGTTTAGTTCAACGATAATTGGACTTGAAGTGTTAAAGAAAAGCTGAGCAGCAAACTGTAGACTGTATATAAAACATGAACGTAGCCACCGGTTGGTTTGTGGAAAAGCTGTTCGGCCTTTTCCATTTTGGTTTTTAGAAATCAGATTTAAGAAATGGATCCAGCTGGAAACTTGGAAACCGATGCAAGACGATACAGTCGTAGTTGTCGACCACAAGCCGTCTGTTTTCCTCAAAGTGGGATTTACTGAATGAACATCATTCTGTGTTAAAAAAAACTCTTAAAACTACCAATAAAAACCATAAACTAATTGGGAAAGTGTGAACTGAGGTAACAAACGAAGAAGACTTCTATATAATCCGACCTCTTTTTTTCAACCGGAGGAGTCGCCCCCTGCTGGCTGCTACATAGAATGCAGGTTTAATTTCTCAAACACAGGCTGCGTTCATCTTTTATAAACACTTCATGTCATTATCGTATCGAGCTGTGAGTAATAAACAGAATTTTCATTGTCAAATCACAGACACAACATTTTTATTCCTGTCGCGCTCAGAGCACCTCAGTACATATGGTTGGACTGTTATTGTTGCATCTGTACTCAAAAGTCTTGGCTCGTCAACTGTTAATATGGAAAAGATAACTTAATAAAGAAGAAGGTTGCAAGTAAAGAAGTCGAGTTGTTTTTACCTTGTTGGTTTTGTCTTCTTGCTGGAGGATGAATCAGGAGGCAACGGATTGGAAGAGCAGCAGATGATTAAAAACATGGATTCAAACTTCATGAGTGAAGAAAACTAAAGGATCTAAAGCAGTCAGCATGCAGAGCAGGACTTTCTGTACCATCATTACTCTTTAGAATCAGTTTGGAGCATGTTGGTGTGCAGCTGCATCTGATTTATTTTTAGCAAAAAAAGTTTCATCTAAATTAATTTTTGGGGTTTTTAAGGGTTAAATCAACATTCAGAGCGACTTTAACAAAAAAAAGAAGAAATGCTCAGCAAGCTCACTGGAAATCTAATTATCTTATTTGTACGGCTGGTTTTATACAAGTCAGTGTAATTAAAGACTAACTGGCTGATAATGAGATGGTTTAAAGGTAAAGAGTCAAAGAAATAGAAAGAAAAACGGTGAAGAAGCATTTATACAGTGACAAAACTGATAAAAAGCATCTCTGTGTGTATTAAAGTGCAGGTTCTAAGCTGTGAATGATTCATATTCAGGAGCTGCTGTTTCCCACCGAGTTAAACTCTCAATCAGAGGATTCTGTCTGCGGTTTGAAGGTCAGGACTTCAGCTGTATATCTGCCCACATTCAGTCGGCGGCGGAGCTGCAAGGAGAAAGTAATCCTTCATAAATGACTGCAAACCCACCTCTCTGACAGCTCGCTCATAATTCCATTATGTGTGTTATAGGAAAGCACACCGGCGTGATGCTTTATCGCGACCGAAGACGTTAATTAATGTGCCTGCGTGGCGTCATCTCAGTAATCCGGCCGCTGAATTAATTCCCCTCTAAAATGTAATTAATTTCTGTTTCCGTGAGGTCGTTTTATTTATTTTTTGTCTGATTATCGCGGGCCGGAGAAGCTGTTCACCTCCTCTATGTGCTGACCGGCGTGACGCAGCGCTTCATCACCAAAGAAAGAGTCGCACAACTCGTGACACGCGAAAGTCTCATCTGCACACATCCTGCTGTCCTTGAGTTCGGCTGGAGGTCAAGAGTCACGCAGCCCGGTGCAGCAGCGCCTCCGGTTCCTCCGATTCCTGCCAGAGAACGTTGGCAGCAACGCCTGGAAACCACAGTCCGACTGGGTCCTGCAGAAACTGCAGCGGTGGGTAGTTCTCGCTTTTAAAGGGCATGTAAATAAAATGCAAGAACTGGTTGTTTCAGAAATGTGTGCAGTCAGCTCACAAGAAACCGCGTTGTTTTATTAAACACACAAGTTGCGCCTGCTTCTCTCCCAGTAATGCATCTTACAGCTCATTTTTAAAGGGCTACATATAAATGAAGCTTATTAATATTTATATGACTCAGTCGATGGGAGCGGAGAGCGAGTCGATGCAAACAAGTCATTCATCAAAGCGGCCGAAGTTTTGTTCGGATTTGAATTCAAGTTGGAATATTTTCCCAGAGGAACCGTTTGTGTTGCAGCAGAGGCTCTGAAACCAGTAATCAGCCTTTAAATGACTCAATGCCAACGGAATAAAAACACATTGGTTATGTTATGTTGAGATTTTGTTTGGACTGAAGTCAGTTTTTTCCTCGAAGTTCGATTCTCAACACTCACAAGTTCTCAATAATAAGAATTAAAGGTTTGTCCCTTTATAGCCTTTAATGAAAATCTCACAACTTCCTAGAACGTGTCTTTGAATTTTTCACCTCAAAACACCAAAAAACAAAAAGGTTGATTTCTCCATGACTTCTGGTTTTGTTCTGAATCGGCTGCTTCAGCGTCTTTAGCTTTAAATGAGCTGCCTTGGCCCCGCCCCTGCTGCTGGCCCCGCCCCCTTCAGGAAGAAGACTGTGATTGAACGAGTGTGTGAGATCAGGACTTTGTTTTTAACTCCTGTGTTTGTTGTCAGACGACGTTATAAAACCAGTGTTCATAAAAATCAAGTTCTGAGGCTCAGAAATGATGGAAAAAGTCCATTAAAGTGATCAATCTGGACCCTCCTCTGTGGACTTCAAGGACCTGGACCTCTGGAACATTCACAGTCTGAAGGTAGAGCTCTGGTCAGTAGATGAAGGTTCTGCAGATACAGAACCAGCTGATTCGGGGGGAGGCTCTGATTGATTAAACTCAAATTCCCAAATCAGGAAAACAAACTAAAACTACGCAACAGATGTATCGTAGAAACAGAAACTCTCCGGTTCATTCTTTCAGCAGCCGTTCAAACAGCCCGTCTGAACCTCTGTTGTCCTGAGTTTTTAGATCCTTGAACCGCAGGAAGGATTCATCAGAGCCTGACACCGAGCCATCCTGCATCCACTTCCTCCCTGCAGCAGAAGACGCACAGCGACGCGCTCGTCTATAAACTTGATAAAACGTCCATCTAAATATCAGCGGCAGCGGCTGCAGTCATCAGCGCAAACCTCCAGGGAGCCGCCGGATAAAAAACAAGCCGCGATTAAAAGACACTAGTGACCCGAACGGACGGGAATCTGTCAGCAGACATCCAGCCGGCGGTGTTCGCTCTGAAGTGTGCCGAGCTAAAGGCTGAAGCAAAATCCATGAACATGCCGGCGAGAAGGTCGGAGGTCCGTCTGGACGCTGACAGAGGAGAGGAACCACGGAGCATCTGTCACCAGTCTCAGGAACTTCTCTCAGCAAACTGTAAACGGAGAATCCTCCTCATTTTCAGGCATCAATTCAGGGTTTGCGATGAGAAAAACAACCTCCTGCGCTAAAACTCTGTTTTTCTTGACAGTGTTCAGCGCTGCAGAACATCTGAACCTCGGGGAGAAGCTGATGCTTGTTGGTTTTCAGATTATCTCTTAAATTTAACGTCAGACTTCCTTGAAATTCACCGTTGAGCCTCGGGTCAAAGCACAATCACTTACAGGCATCGATCTAGATTTCTGTTGTTTTTAGCCAAAGAGATAATCGATTTCCAATTCCAGCCCGAGGGTTTTTGATTGATTAACTCAATTTAAGCGAAGCTGTGAGAGATAGAAACGGTGCTGCTGCAGAAGAATTCAGCGCCGGTGGAGGTTTGTGATCCGCTAATGTGGAATCTAGTCTTTAATTTGCCTTTTTTTTTTGTTTTTAAAGTCAGACGTAATGAGTGAGAGATGATCTGACTGGAGATCTTGAGGAAACACGCTCTCCTTTATCGTCTAAATGGGACCATCGTTTACTAAATTAACATCATTCTGTGTTTAAAAAGCCTTCAAACTACTGATTGAAACCATAAACTCAGGAGGAACCTGTTTACTGATGAAACAAACCAAGCGAGACATACTGTTGTTTCCTTATAGACGTCTATATAATCAGTAACCAGAGGAGTCGCCCCCTGCTGGCTGGTAGAGAGAATGCAGGTTGAAGGTTTCATTTCTCAGGTGAGAAGCTGATGCTGGTTGATCAGATTTCCTTCTCAGGTCAAAGTACAACTAATTACAGGCCGGCGCTGGTTTAGATTCTTTAGCCGAAGCCATGAAATGAACAGAGAATTGATTTCAGTTTCAGGCCGAGGGTTTTTGATTGATTAATTCAATTTCACCGAAGCTGTGAGAGGTAGAACCGGTGTCTGTGCAGAGGTTTGTGCTCCTCTAAAGCCGCCGATTCCCAACCAGACTGGATGTGCTGAGAGCTGCTCTGTATCTGGATGCTTTATGTGAGATTGTGTTGCGTCTGAACACCTCAGGCAGGAACCGCCGCTGATGGATCCAGTGAAGGAAGCTGCAGCATCACGGTCCGTCTCTCTGGAACCAGTTTGTCCTCCTCGACTACGAGCAGCTTTCTCCAGCTTCGCCTGCAGCGTCGCTCATCGCTCCTCCAGACAACAAGCCCAAAACTGTCCGTCTGACAAAAACTTATTTTGCTACCGAACGTCCGCAGGCTGCTGTCCCACAGTCACCAACACCTTCTGTCATCTGCCCACATCATATTTCTTTTCTAACCTTTTGTGCTGCTATCGATCGATCCATCGACTGTCTCGTTTCTTTGGCTCTGACCTCTGCACCGCTGCTGGCTGACGTATTGATCATCTTTAAATACAAGTTTGCTTCGGCTACACACATCTGAAATCACTCCAGAGTCAAATGAATGGCAAAAATATTAAAGCGTGATTACAGAGACGGATGGCTGCTGCTAACGGAGCCCATCGGTCGGCTCATATCCTCTCATCACAGCAACACTGTCCCCAAAAATAATGTTTCCCAACAACAAAACTCCACAAAACTTTTCTGCTGGACTGCGTTTGTTTGTCACGCATCACAAATAGTTGGATCGACTCGTGTTTGGTTTTGATGCAGAAACAGATCTGGACTTTGAGAAGCTTTGCCTCGAAATATGTTTAAAACTTCAACCTGATAAACGATCCCTGAATCCAGTCAGTCGGAGCTGAACAACCTCGACGGATTACAGACACCTCTGAAATACAGCGAGTCTCTTCATCTCCATCAGCAAGCTACAGCGAGATCTGAAAAACTCCTGCAATGATTTACATTTGAGACCCAAACTGTAAATCAGAGAGTGAAGAACAGCCTCGTGAGTCGGTGATTCTGCTGAATCTGTTCCAGAAATTCCTACAAAATCTGACGCAACAGCAGCTGCTTCTTGGGTTGAGTTATTGGAAATGTGGGACGTGAAGCTCGACACTTATTAGAGATTAAAAGTGAGCTCGTCTTGTCCCCTGCTGCTTTGATTTTAACTACCGCTCCTTTAATCTTTCTCTTTCAAACTTAATAATAGAGCAAAACTCACTTTCTAAAGCGCCCAATTATGGAGGAACGCCTCATCGGAGAAGGAGAAGATCCACCGAGGTAAAAACCCACCAGACTGGTGCAGGAAACCATATTTCGTGGAAGTAACGCTGACAACACGAGTTAGATTCTGTTCACGCGCTGCAGGATGAAGCTGCTGTTTTGCCGAATCACAAATCTGTGGACGCTTCACAACGAGCGACATCTCTGCTGGGTTTGATCACAGCTCTTCACCAGAAGGTTCGGCTGCTTTGAGCCAGAAACAAACTTCTCCACACAGAAAACAGCGACGGCTCATTTCAGTCATTTGCAGCCAGAAGAAACCAACCAGTCAAACAAGTGTGACTGATTTAGAGCTTAACTGTGTATAATGTAAATATCTGAGTTCTCAACATGACGTCTGCACCAAACAGCACGTGATGATGTTCTAGTGCCGACGAAGCTCTTTCCACATTTAGGAGAGAACCGCCGATCAGCAGCTACCTCCGAGGAGCTCTGGGATTCTCCGCAAACTCTATATTTTCATTTCCACCTGTCAGGAAAGAGGCGAGGCCGTGTCTCTTCTTATGGATGACCTCCTGTTCTCGGCACGAAAACCCGGATCGCGGGATTATTGAATTTCAGGGGTCAGTGGCTTCGGTCAAGACGAGAACAGAAACTGTTGGCAGGACGATTCTTCTCTCAGTCGGCCTTTTAAACCGTCTCTGAAAGTTACCGTCTCTGCATCCTGGATCCATTTTAAACTGTTTAAACTCAGTGTTTTTGTTATATTACTGATAATAACTAGAAAAAAACACAGAGAGCATCAACCTGCATGTTAATGGATGAAAACTGACCAAAAAGAATCTGCACTGAGGAATTATGATCTCTCTTTCTAACATTTAACCATAAAACCATTTTTTTCTGTTTTTTTTTTTTTACTGTATTTAAATCAACTAAAAATGTTGGTATTTTACAGATTATTGCCAGTTTTCAAATAAGAATCATGTTTATTAAGGCATAAAAAGAGATAAATAAAAATGTAAACTGTTATTTTAAAGATTTTCCTTGTTTTGTTAAATTGCAGATAATATCTTGTAAAATCACAGAAGCATTAGTTTGTGTGTTAAATGCAGAAAACAAACAAAAAACTATAAATATACTAACTATAAATAATATTCACATCAAAAATCTGTTTTGTTTTGTTTTTTTGTTTTTACAAAAAAATCTATTAATTCTTTTTCTTTCTATTTTTACTGTCAATCATCAAAAACAATATATTACTTTGCAGGTATTTGCTGTTATTTGAAACTAAAATTACATAAATTAAGGGCTGAAAAATAGTAAAAAAAAATTTAAAATATGTAATTTAAAGATTTTCCCCTAAAATATTTACATTAATTAGAGATAACATATTAATTTACATGTTATCCATAAAAAACAAGCCAATAATCAAAAACCTGTATTTATTAATAGTAATGAGTTCTATGTGACGATCAAATCACACATTTTACTGTATTTAAATCAGATAAAAGTATTATTTATAGATATTTGCTATTATTTTTACTTTATTTAAAATAATTCCACTATTTCCTGTCTTTAACGTGTTTTTCTGCCCTCCTTGCTCCCAGATGTTCACTTTTTTAACACATTATTTCACAGCGTAGAAAACTTCTGCTCTGGGACACATTTAAACCAAACTGTGAGCGATAGCAGTTTATTTATTTTGGTGCCAGATCGAGCAACACAAAGACGACGGTAGGATCCGGTGTGTTTAATAGGACGAGCAGCTCGGCACGTCTCCAGGAAACCGTCCACAGTCCGTGTTTCCTAGATTACACGCCGTGCACTCGCAGGATTTGGCCACCGGATACGAGACGGCGATGGGACACCCGCTGATGTACTTGACCTCGTAGGACCAGTCGCCGCTACAGACGTGCTGCTGGGCCCAGTCGCCGGGCTCCAGGTAGACGGGATCCTGAAAACGAAACGGGACAGAACGATGATGTCTGATGTTAAACGTCATATCAGTGTGAGCTGTGATCATTCAGCTGATCTCCAATCAGACAGCAGGAACAAAGTGTGTGACGGAGAAAAAGCCGGTGTCGGAAATTCAAAATAATTCCAATAGTCTGCTCTAATCTTTACTAACTTAATAAATGAACTAATTCTAGAGTAAACCAGTTGAAGGTTTATTTATCAGTCATGTCTGGAGGAGCAAAAAGTAGGAGTATTTTACAGATTATTGGCAATATTTCAGACAAGTATCGTGTGTTAAGGACTGAAAAGGTGAATAATGAATTGTGGGGGGAAAAAAGCAAACTGTTATTTTAAGGAGAAAAAAGAACCAACAGTGAGAAAAAATGAGACAGAAGGTTACAGGACGAGTCAAATTTAGCATCTTTTACTGAAATAAATCAGATATTCTGTAATGACAACAGATTAAACTCTGTGCATTTGTTTAGTTTGATGAAGATCAGCTGAATGTGCAGGATTATGATCACTGTGTTGCAGAGAAAAATGAACCAACGGTGAGGAAAAGCGCGACAGAAGCAGAAAACAGCTTTTAACAGACGGTCCAGCTTCATCGTGACATGTGTTGGTTTTATCTCATATCTGAGCAGTGAAAGGTGAATTAAACGCCAGAGAGGAATCAGTGCTTCTGCAGCCAATCAAATCATTCACATTGCGACCACTCTGGTCCGTGCACACGTGCAGGACGGATGCTGGTGCACGCCTCGTGGCTGTGTGTGCGTGGCCGTCACCTCGTGGTAGCACTGCCCTTCACACACAGTGGTGTACACCAGCTCGCTGCTGCCACAGCTCTCCACCTTGATGCTGGTGTTTGTTGGACGACAGCCGAAGCTGCAGCTCTGCCGCGCCCCCGCCAGCGCCAGCGCCGCTGCCATGACGACCAGCTGCATCCTCTGCCGGGTGCAGCGCAGACCCCTGCCACCAGAGGGGAGCAGATCTCACATCAGTCATCGTCTACGGCTCATAACAATCTTTTCTACAGGCTCCTACTTTGTGAAGCGTCTGAGTAGCTTCAAAAGCCTGTGTTAGAATCATCATCATGACCGAGTCTACTCTCCAAGCTCTTATTTTGAAATACATCCTGAATGTGTAACAGCATCCAGAGCAGCTCAGCTTCTAACATCTGCATCATCGTTTAAACTAGAATTAAAATAAATTTTTTTAAGTTTGATTAATTAAACACTTTACTGTCATTTTACAGATTTTCCCTGTTTCTCTTAAATTACAGATAACAGCGGAAAAAAAATCACAGAAAACATTCATTTACATGTTCATTCTAAAAACAAACAAACAAAAAACAGGTTAAAACTGCATTTACATCCACATCAGAATATTATAAACGGCACTCTGTTTATGTTTGACAGCAAAGTGTTTCATTGCAAATTAAATCAGCTAAAATATAATTTGTTGTAAATTCACTTTGCAGTCACTGAAAGAAAGACGTCTAAATACTAAGGATTTAAGCAATTATAAATGTTTTTTATACCGTTGAACAGATTTACAGATAACTAGTAAAACTACAGAATAAAAAGTAAAATAATTTACATGTTAACTGTAAAAACTAAAATAAAATAAAAAAATATTGTCCACATCAAAAATCTCCCCCATGTACAGTATGTGTGTACATAAATTAACATCAAGTTTAATTTTATTTTTTTTTTTTGATAAAAGACAAAGTTCAGGCAACTCTTTCTGTTATTTTATGGATTTATTTAACGTGCAGTTTTTAAGCTGAAGATTTACCAACAAATAACAAAAAGTCTTTTATTTTGACAAATAACAGAAATGTTGTGTTTTTTGCTGCAGATTTAAAGTTAAATGTTTATAAAATGCTAAACTGTTAAAATTAAAGCTTTACCACTAAAAAATAGGAAAATGTCCTGTTTTATGAATTTCCCATTAAAATACAGAAAATGTGCTGCTTTTCACAAAAGATTTACTAAAAAGAAAGAAATAGCTTTTTTAAAATTATACATTTGCTATTAAAATACAAAACATTTCCTGCTTTTTAAAATTATTATTATACATTAAGCATCATGATACAGAAATGATCTTTTTTAAATTATACTTTAACCAATAAAATACAAAACCCTGCTTTTTTTTTTTTTTTTTAATTATGAGATCAATTATTTTATTTATTTATTATGATTATTTTCTGAATTTATTTCTTAGATATGAGAGCATCAAACTCTCTTCAGATGGTTTTAGACTGTATTACAGCTCATTAACTGTCTCTATAATGTGATGAACCGTGAACTCTTCCACCTGAGCGGAGGACGTACCTGTACAGATGAGGTGTTTCTTTGAAGCTCGGCCGGTGAACTTGCGTCGTCTGTTCTCCACCAAACATCTGCAGCAGCTTTCAAGCGTCTGCGTTTCTTAAATAGCGGCGCTCCTAAATCCCTTTAATCTGCTCGGCCTCGGCCCGCCGCTCTCGTCCTCACCTGTCTGGACTTTAAACGAATGGTCGCCGGTCGGCCGTGGCCTTTTCCCTCCCCCACACCAGGAGGGCCACTCGCTATCTTCACCGATCTTGTTCAGATTAGGAGAGCCAAGCGGCTCAGATGGACCCCAGAACCATGAAAACAAAGCGGCCCCCGCACAGACGGAAAACCAGGACATCAGGAGCTCTGATTAATCTGCTCCTCTGCTTGGTGTTTTCCACTGTGATGTGGCGCTGATGCACTCTGCTGCAGCTAAAGTCACATCTGAAAGGCTTCAGGGTCAAACGGAGCTTCTCATACGTCTGAGTTCTCATCGGTGAAGGATCAAGTCTTGACAGTCCACATTTTAATCATAAATACTTATAATTATGGCCTCTTTGATCCTCTCTGTCCTGCTGGTCACTGCTACAGTCTGTAGAAACCACATCAGACCGACTGACTAGTTTACAGTCTCTCACTCCTCATTACTGAGGATTCACTTATTGATTCTTCTACTTTATCACTCAGCCTTGTCTCATTTCCTGTCCTTATATCTCTTGTTTGTGTCGTTTTGTGTCTCCTTTGTGATATTTGTAGTGCTTTGTGTCTCACTCGTGATCGTTTGTGTCTGGTTTTTATTGTTTCGGGTCTTGGTCGTGTTGTTTAGTGTCGGGCTTTTTGTGTCATCTGTGTTGTTTGCTGCTTCGCTGGTGTCATTTTATGTCTCGTTTTTGTTGTTTTGTGTCTTGTTTGTGTCATCCTGTGTCTTGTTTTTTGTTTGTCTCGCTTGTGTTTTCTCTTTGTTTTTGTCGTGTCATGCCTTGTTTGCCATTTTGTCTGTTTT